ACCGACCCACCCCAAGCACCCACCTACCGACCCACCCCAAGCACCAACCTACCGACCCACCCCAAGCACCCACCTTCTGCCGCACCCCAACCACCCACCTTCCGACTTACCCCAAGCACCCACCTTCCGACTTACCCCAAGCACCCACCTACCGACCCACCCCAAGCACCCACCTACCGACCCACCCCAGGCACCCACCTACCCACCCACTCGAAGCACCTACCTACCGACGCTCCTGAAGCACCGACCGACCGACCCACCCCAAGCACCAACCGACCCACCCACCCCAAGCGCCCACCGACCGACCCACCTACCGAACCCCCCCAAGCATCCACCCACTGACCCACCCCAAGCACCCACGGAACAACCCACCCCCAGTACCTACCTACCGACCCACCCCAAGCACCCACGTACCAACCCAGCCCAAGCACCCACGGACCAACCCACCTCAAGCACCTGCAGACAGGACCCACGCCAAGCACCGACCCACCCGAAGCACCCACCTGCTGACCCACCCCAAGCACCCACCTCCCAACCCACCCCAAGCACCCACCTACCTACCAACCCACCCGAAGCAACCACCTACCTTTTTTCTTTTTTTTCGGTTTCCGTACAGTTGCCTTTTTTTTTTTTTCGATTTGTTTTCGATTTTTTTTCGATTTTTTTTTCGATTTTTTTTTCCGGTTTTTTTTCGGTTTTTTTTTCGGTTTTTTTTTCTGCTGTGTCTTTTTTTTTTTTTTTCCTGGTTCACACAGCGGCCGCTTTTGAATTATACAGTCGCCTTTTTTTTTTTTTTTTCTAGGCTACCAGCCGGGCCGCCCGGGTCCCGGGTGACCAGCCAGTGCAAGGAGGTCCCAGCAAAAAAAAAAAAAAAAAATCCAAAACTTCCGAAAAAGAAACTATGTCATGCAGAAAAATAAACTGAACAACTTTTGCCTCAGGGTCACATCGAAATTCTTCACCAAAATTAAATTAAAAATTAAAAATTAAAAATAATTCTTTTATTTTTATTTTTTTGGCCCGGCCGGGCAA